TGAGGTGGGCATCACAATGTGTTCTGTCACTTTAAAAGGAAAAGTCTGACTCAGAGGAGCAGCTGTATTACAGAGCAGTACATTCCCCACAGATTTCAAATAATTACGTTAAATGACTAATGTCTTGTCATTTTTGTCAAGTCATGACTGGTCAATAGATCATAACAGGCTCAACTAATGGTATTTTGGATGTAATAATATGCAACGCAAAGAACTTTCTCTCTCCAAAGCAGAATTTGTTTATCTTGTCGACAATGCAGCCAACTCTTTGGGATTCAGTTTCAAGAAATAAAGTGTTAAATTACAGAAAGTCTATTTTTTTTGTTGATTTACAGAAAACATTCTTTGTCGACCAACTATAAAAACGGAAATCTATAGTAGATTTTTTTAAAAAAAAGGAACTTTTCTGTTATTTAATTGTTTAAATAACAGAAAGTAATTTAAACAATGACTAACAAAGTAGGCTGGTGCAGTGTACAGGAGGTCTTTATCAGCAGGGGAAGCTGTAAAGCAATACAGTTAAGTCTGAAATTGCTGTCCTCCTTTCTATAAATGATTAAAATTGAGGGCATTAAAGGGACTACCAGTCACCAGCTTTTCTTGACGTTTTACATCAAACATGTGTCATAACGATAGTTCCTATTACAGAAGTTGTTGCACAGCCTAAGAGTTTCTTACTTCCTCATGCCAGTGTCCGTTTCATTCAGTTTATCAACGTTAAGAAAAAAGATTAGCAGTTGAAAAATGATGTTGTGCTTCCTGTATATAAAATAAGAAAGCAAATTCAAGTTTGACAGTAGTTTCTCAGCATGATATTCCTCTCTCTTCTTTGTTTGTAATCTTTAGAGTGTGTTGGCGTGAACCCCATGACGATCCCCCAGGGTCCGCTCACAAGCAACTACAAGAACTTTACACTCAAGTTCCACAAGTACGGCTTCATTTTTCACATGGCTTCGTTTCCTCTTTGTTGACAAGATTATCTAATGATCACATACCTCTGCAGCACACATAGACAAACAAACAAACACAAGCATGTATACAAGGACAGCGACTCAAACCCACAGAGATATGATATGAATCATGTTGTGTTTCTTGTCCTGCATGTGTGCCTCTGGTCATTCTTTTAGTCACCTTGGTTTCATTGTTAGAAATTAGATGTTTTTGTGTTCATTTGTTTGTTTTCTTTTTCTTTTAAAACAGGTTGATTAATGTTACCATAGAGTTCCAGCTGAAGGCGATAAATATCCAGACTATCATCAACAACGAGATCCCAGACTGCTACACCTTTCATATAACAGTGAGTTAAAGACTTTCAGACTCAACACATGCTTGAGCTGTCATTTGTCAAGGCTAGAAAAACATTACAGGCTGTGCATTAGAATTTAGTGAGGGTGGTCTTTCCCCATACATCTACCCTTGGAAGAACCCAGAAACTATTCTAATGGTTGTCAAACCAAGTCTTTACTGATATAACTTAGGGTATCGAAGCTACAGGGGGAGGTTGTAGAATATGGGGGAAAGAGTTAAAGTGAAAACAAACAAACCAGCCTCAGCGCAGTCCATTTATGAAACCAGCCGTGTAAGTTTACTCTTTAGTTCCAGTTGACTGCCGCTCGCAAACAGGTTTGAACAGCTGCTGTGTTCGCAGGCCGAGCTGTGTGCGTCATTTAAAACCTTCTTCTCTCTTTTACAGATAGTTCTGGACAACAAGGCTCATAGTGGCAAGGTGAAGATCCGGCTAGATAACCAGGCGTCAATAAAGGAGTGCAAAGACCCGAGCATCTCTGGACAAGGTGAGAGAACAGAAAAGAAGAAGCATCTGTTAGTGGTCATGGGACTACTGTGCAAGTAGTACAGCAAGCAAAATATGATACCAGTGATGAAACTAGAAACATGTAAGCAAAGGTGTTACAAAATATCACAAAGTTGTTTCTAGTTCACAATAATGAGCCAA